TATCAACCTAGATAGAGTCTATATCATCCTTAGTTACTCATAACTAATCCAATACATAAATCTTATGTATCACAATCCATGCAAAGCCATGCATTTACATATATGTATAATTAGCTAACATCAACCGATATTAATTAATCCATCATCCATCGGTCAACGTTGTCGTTGACCGCCAATTCAAGCCTTGTACATATCAACTTAATCATCATATAATTAAGTCAATAATACTCATTTGAGCTTCTTTTTCACTTCAAGTTGATGTGCATCTTATATAATTCCTCATATCATTTTTCATGCATAAACAATTAATTCTTTTCATACAACTTGATAATATTGACTAATCACATGTTTAAATATCTTTTAAACATCATTATGAACACATATGACATTTAATTAGGTAATCTCATAATTAACCCAAAAGTTATAAGATATTAAGCCGTCCACTCACCTTGACTAGCGTTAAGAAGTTCTACTCTTCTTGGTTGAACTCCGGTGAAACTCCGGCGACTTTTGGTCAACTCCGGCGACAACTCCGGCGACTTTTCCAACTTTGTGAAATCACTTGGAATACCTTTCACAAGTCCCTAACAAGGTTTTATAATCATAAAACCCATATTAATACAAATGACCTCAAAACGGGTATTTTCCGGTGAACCGGTCGTTTTGGCTTCTAAGTCCGTTCTTGGACATAGAATCACTTTCCAACCCATTAATCCATACTTATAACATGTAGAACCCTCTTAAGGGTTCTTCACATGATGTATATATCTCCTAAGATGGAAGAAAAATTAAAGGAAAAGTTATGATAAAGTTATTACCTTTATTTTCACACTTTTCCCTAGCTTTTTCCTTCTTTAAACTCCCTCTTTTTCCTTGTTTGAGTTTGAGCTCGTGCTCATCTATGTAAAGTGGAGTTGCAGAGCTTCCTCTCTCTTTTTCCTTGGTCTTTGGCCGAGTATGATAGGGGTGGGTGAGTGAGGAGATAGCCTCTTTGGCTTTTCTCTCAAAATAATGTGAGGATGGGTCCTCCCTATTGTACCTTTGATGCTAAATACATCTCCTCCCCATTTCCCTTTGTCAACCCAGCCCCCTTTGTCCAACTTAGCACAAAAAAAACGTGGGGTGGCCCCCACTCATGTGGGAGGTCATCCCTTTGTGTCCCGATGTGTACAATCGGTCCCGAAAGTTGTATTTTTCGGACTGTTTTAAATATATTTTATTTTATCGGGTCAAATAAAATATATTATGTGCTCTTACTCATTATGACATGTATAATGAATATACATTCCCCAACTTTAATTTATAAGCCTCCGAAATTCATTTCCGGGCTGTCATCTGTTAAATTGTCGGTACCGGTAATTTGGGCCTCTTTTTCCCAATCGGTCAACTCTGCGCCTTTCCACGACCCAAATAAAATATCCACCACTATATAAATATTATCTTGACCAAGATGAATAAAATATGTGGTCTCGGAAGTGTCGGGCGGCCCCCGCTCCCGGTGTGGGTCCCACGTGCAATTTACTATTCACGCGAAAGAAATAATAAAAATTTACAACCTCGTAAATTCCTTTAATAAGGTTCAATACATTATTTACATAAAAGTAAATATATTTGGGGACGGTGTTACACCTTACACGTGAATATTTCTGACTTAGTCTTGGTGTTTAGGGAACTAGGGGATTAATTTGCTAAGTTTAGGAAATTTTTGTAGGAGCCATTTTTGGCACTGTTCCTATGCCCTAAATGGGGTAAGAGCAGTCACTTTTTAGGAATTTGATACTTTCGAGGATTGCATTGTAGACATAGATTCACTTTGAATAAATGAACCTTAAATGCTATTTTCCTTGGTGAGGACGAGATTAGAATGAGGTAATGTCTAGTAAAAATCTGAAAATTGAAAAAAAATTAATATGAGCTAGACCTCTTACCTTGCGAAAAATAGAATGGGAGCCCCGGTCAAAAAGCGTAAGTGTTCGCACAATAAGATGAGACATGGGTATCTTTCGAAAGAAATGGCGTTCTCGTGCCAACATGACAAGGAAAACTGAACCTAATTAAATGAACTTGGAGGCTATTGCAAAAATTAGCTTTAGTCCTTCGCGTACTTCAAGTATACGTCAAAGCACAAATGTGCCACGTCGGTTTAGCTTAGTTGTACACCATGTGGCCTACTAAGTTCTTTGATCCTAAGAATAGCCCCGAAATTCCTGAATGCATTGAGTCTTTGTTAGAATGTTCCAAACTCTCAAGAAAGGAACTGTTTATTCTTACCATTCACCATTGACCACCGTCTTCACAAGTCCTTCTGATCGGTAGCTAGTTTATTTGTGTGTGCTGTCACTACTTTGAGGATGTTGTGAATAATTTTGTCAAATATTTTAGCTAGAGTACAAAGATGTAGTTTAGGGAATAACTTTCTTGGGTTAGTCTGCCTGTTCTGTGAATATCCCTTTAACTACATGTGCATGCTAATTGTTTTAATTCCGTGTGGTGATTATCGTAAGTCCCGTTGTTCGATTTGTTTGAGGACAAGCAAAAGTTTAAGTGTGGGGGAATCTGATAAGTCCGTATTTAGACATGCATTTGATGCATGTTGGGATTGGATTTTGATGGTTTTCCTAGCTTTAAGGTGTTGCAAGTCTCAATTTCAGCTCAAGTTATGTTTATTAGGCGTTGGTTCGAGTTTTGTATCATTTGGAGTCAAAATCAGTAAATTTGAGCCCGGCACCGGCGCTTGAAGAGTAATCGGGATGATTCGAGATGCATTCGAGAGTGGATTGAGATCTTTGGAGGTCACCGGGGGGTCTAAGATGAAGATTTGATGACAAAAGTGCTCTAGAATTGGCTACGGGATCAACAGAAGTTGAATAGAGCCTGAAAACGACGATCAGGATGACCTTCTGTCAATCGTTCAAGCATATCTCCTTGTCGAAACATCCAAATAACACGATTCAAAGTCCAAACTAAAGCTAACTTCAAGGGCTACAAATCATATGAGTACACCTTTGCGAGAATCTGAGAGGAAGGAGGTGAAAACAGACAATGAAGTCAGATGATCCCTGTTGCGATTTCAGAATGCAACCTTCCACCGTTTGGATCATATCTCTTGATTGGATGATTTAAATCCCATTCTACAAGTTGGGTTGGATAGAGGACTTCATTATCTACAACTTTCATGAAGGAAGTTTTGTCAAATTCGGAAGTTTGATGCACGCCGTGCGTAGGGGGACCCACGACCATGCGTCCGAGGCGAGAAAGCAAGGAAGCTACTACCAGCCACGCACAGCCGTGCGTGGATAATTTTTGCATGATACATGCTCCGAACGCACTGGGGGACGCACGCCGTGCGTGGGCCCTGTGCGTTCCCCCTGGAATCCTAATTTCGCCTGAATTGCTCTGTTTTTCATATTTAAACAACCTGTAAACCCCGTTTTCAAGGGGGAGCTCAGAGAGAGTGCCTAACACGAAATTTAGAGGGCTTTTCAGCCTTGTTCATCAATCTTTTGAGATTCTTTGTAAGTTCCATCTTTTTAATTAATGACAATTAATTCCTTTTATTCCAATTCTATTGATTCTACAATTATGAATTGTGAGTAGTTTAAATTAGGGATTTGGGATTGATGAAGGGGTTGATCATGATGTATGGATAGATTCTTGATGGGTTAATTGCATGAATGCTGTTTAATTTGTGTTTGAATAATTTAATTGATATCTTTTGTAACCTGGAACCGCGGCTAGAATTACAATTGCTTGTAGAATAAGTTAAGAGAGATCTAATTTATTTTAGAACACCTTCATACACACTTAATCGTTCGCTAAGAGATTAGTAGCGATCAAGGGGCCGTAAGCTCGCTCGTCTTGGCAATAATTTAGGATCCTGTCGAATGAGAGATCAGCCTGGTCGCCTAAATTATTGTACTCTACGCCGCGAGAGCGGTAAGAACTTAGTAATGATTAGCTAGGCTCAATTAAATTAATTTCATGTAATTAAGCTTGATCAGCCATAAATCTGGTTACCCCGGAATCAATCCATGTTCCCTTCGTCATTAATTAGAAAGAACCCTTAGTTTAATCATTTTATTCGCATTTTAATTTTCCAGCAACCAATCTCGCACGACACATTTTTATTTATTTATTTTTAATCGCTGAATTTAATTAGTTCTTGATTCCCTTTTGTCCGTCCTTGTGAAGACGATACTCGTACTTACACCACTATATTACAATCTTTTAAGTGCGAGAAAACTCACATCAATGGTTTAGACGAAAATCATCCAAGAGACCTTCAAATCAAGGTTAGGATTACGAAGGATATCATAGAAGGATTGGGAAGGAGGCTGATGTGTTTAAAAAATATTGACTCGGCATTATTAGGCGGGTACACGACCTCCACGTAAGCGACAAGGTCAACGAGAAACAAGCTAACCGGGAGACGATCAATTAAAAAGCTTAATTGATTGTATTTGAAGAGTTAACGGGCTCAATTTAGAGCCCGTTTGGTAACACTAAAGTTGGCTGAATTGCTGATTCTGCTGAAATTTATGAAGTTTTGGCTGAAGTGGCCATATTGGCCGATTCTGCGGATTCATGAAAAAATTATATTTAAAATATTTGTTATTAATAAGTTAAATAAAAATTATACGAAAAAATAGCTAAAATGATCCTCTACAGTAACTTTAGCCAATACAGCCGGAAAAGTAACTTCAACCTTACTTTTTTCTGCTTATTATAAACTTCAGCCCACGAAATAAAAAAGGTAGATTCTATGGTACCCATAAGGTATCGTACCTTTGTTCACATGGACCAATCAGAATCATGCAGTTGAATTATTTAAATCTAAATTAAAGGGATTTAATGATTTGGACCAATCAAATGCATGGTAGGTACGGTATCCCATATTTTAAATGAGAACCGGAGTTGTCACCAATAAAAAATTAAGCGTTTAATGAAAAAACTATTTGATAAGCTTAATCAGGCGAAAAAAGGGATAACTAAACGGGCTCAAGAGTAAAAGTGCTTAATTGGTGGTTCGGCCATAGTATGAGGCAAAATTCACAGCTTTTCCCTTTGAAAATTGGTGCTTAATTCTCGATACCAGCCCTTGCTACCTGAAGTGTCACCTGTGACCCGTCTGAGCTGAGGGCTGTAGTTTATTTCGGTAATCACCATTTCCAGTCTGAACGATACTAGAAATTCCAGATCGCATTAAACGTCAGTGACAGGAGTTGGTGCTCCATATTGAGACCTGTCTTTTTCCAATAGGAAATGAAAAGTTTCGAAATTTCTTCACGAATTGCATTTGAAAACCCGTAAATAACATGGCTCGGGTTGGGCACGGGTGCTCCATATCCAAAGCGTCAATTTTTATCTGGCTACTCTGTGCTCTTACCTTCTATGCTCTTTTCAACATAGCCGTTCGCAATTCATCAGGTATATATGAAACCCAGCTTATCTACTGCTATTTTCAGTACTATATACTTCGTATTTAATTTGTGTTGTGAATCTCAAACCAGTGTGTAATTCACTTTGCTTTGAAATTAAACCCAGTCTGAACCACTATTTTCCTGCCCCTTTTGATATTGAATTACGCAAATGGTTTTGGATTGCGTTTCTGCTTATGAATCCTGTTTTTTCCTTCTTTCTTTTACTTAAAAGTATCTACTCAACAATAGTGCGAGTCTTGAAATTAAAGCTTCACTAGAATCTTGAATGATGGACACTAAAATGGCTACAGAATGGTCTATCTCGTATTCTGAGAAGAGGTTGAGACTGTATGATAAGATGGAAAGGGATTTGGAGGAGCATGGTGCTGGGTTCCTTAAACATGGAGAAACTTCTCAATCACTGTCCCTTTCGGATCTGTTCTCTCTCAAGGATGGGATTGTCACTCCTGTGCTGAAGGTAGCAAATTTATCTATCTTATATCTCAATTGCTTCCGAAGTCTCAATAGTTGATGAGGGTGGCTTTTCTTTTTTAATCTGTAGGATGCAAACCCCCCTGTACGAGCAAATGTATTACACCTGGGTATAGAATATTCTGTTCACATCTCGTAAGTATTTCTACGCTCATAGGTCTCTGCAGTTTCACATAGGCAGGACAGTTTGCTACTGAGTAACTTTTATTAAATGAAACATAACTAATTACGGAATGCTACCTTGTAAAATTTTGGACAGTTTTACTAAATGAAACTTAAATAATTACTGAAACTTACCTTTTGGACTTTAAGGCGTTTGAAATTAGAAATGCGTATTCTTTTGAAATCACAAGCTACGAAATGACTCAAATGAGTCTTTTCTTTTTTGGTGCATCACTAGGACGCGGGAGACATTTTCCATCATTTGCAATGGAGCCAAAGACTCCCTATTTTTTGGTGTGAAAATATGATGGAATAAAGCAAAACGGCTCACTAAATTGTCTGCGTTTCTTTGTTATGAAATAGCACCCGCGATATTTAGTGTGAGTCATCCGGAAACAGTCTCTCTGTTCTTTAGCACAGGGGTAAGGTTGCGTACATCCGACCCCCTCCTACCCCACCGTAGGTGGGAGTCTTTGCGGCACTGGGGTAAATCGGTAATGATGATGATGACGACTAGGACGTTGGAGACAGAATCTTGGGATTTAAGCTTTCAACCTAGATGTATGTTGAGAAAATAACTTTTCTAATAAAAGACCATTTTGGCCTAGATTCCCGATATGTTGAATCTCAACCACTCACTAGTCAATAAAGTTAAACATTTTGGCCAAACTTTAATTGTTCAGAAAACTTCTTGGAATAGTTTACAGGAAAACCTATTGTAATTAAATAAATATATAAAATCTCCGGTAAAATGCTTGGATACCAACTGAGTTTCAAGAAGACCAATCTTAAAATCTTGTCCAACCTTCTCAGTGTAAATCGTCCTGCACTCAATAGCTGTTTTGCCTGGTAGAAGTGGTATCAAGTCCAAATGTTGCCATCCCAAGCAACATTGCCTTGTACAACCCCGGATTCGAAAAGGCCTTATAGGTTATTTTTAGGAATAGTCATAGAAGACAATTGTGAAACGAAAGCAGCATAAGAGATAAAACACAATTATAACTTTAAAAAGTTTATACTGGCAGATGGTTAACATATACCTTTTATAGTTGAAATGTGCTCATCACTTCTTCAGCAGACTCAATCTCAAGTTGTTGTGGACCAATCAAAGAGGATGGTGTTTGCAAACCATTTAAGTGACCAAGTCAGTTTGAGACTCAATCGTCTTTAATGAGGGACAACACTGACAAGCCTATAAATGGTGGTCTGGCTATGGTAGAAGTAGATGACTCGTTTCAGACGTAGTTGGATGGCTTGGGGTAACTCAGGTGGTCTTGCTCATGTGCAGTAGGACTGTAGGAGGACTCTGAAGTCTGAAACATGATTCAGGTGTGGGACATGTAAGATTTCTGAGATGTTCTGGTAATCAGTTGGTTATGACTGAAAATAAAGATTTGACTTAACATTAGGAGGAATGATATGACGCTTATGTTCTGAGAATAGCAACAATAGCCCTTTTGTATACAAGAGTACCCAAGGAAGATACATCCAAAAGCCACGACCAAGAACTATGTTATGAACAAAACAGGCACTTGCAAACATGTGATGAGGGAGATGAAATAATTTGTTAGAAAGATGGATAATCAAGTAGGAGAACACATAGGGAAGCATGGAACCGTTATTTGAAGCTTAGAGAGCAGGGGCATAGCCACTGCTGTTCAAGACTAGAGAGGGTGGGGTGGCCTAATGGACATACAGACAACCAGTTTTGGTTCCCGGGTGTGTCATGCCCAATGCCAAGAGCATTCTCCATGTTGTGGTTCGGCGAAGTGTCTGAACTTAGAGAAAAGGTGATGGAGCAATTGAGGTTTATCATCAATTTGCTGACATAAGCAAGATTAAAGGAGCCAATGGGAACATTTGACACATGTTCTAGGGGAAAGGAAGGCACAAGAAATGCTTTGCCAATTACAACAATGGGCTAGGAAGCACGAAAATGCCATTCTTTTTCAAGTTTCCATCCCGGAAACATTTCAGAAATGGGAAACTCTAGGAAATGCCGGGAAACGTTTCTGGCGTATGTGCTTTTGGGCCAGCCGATTGGGTTGCAGAAACGTTTTGGAAACGTTCTTTTAAACTGGACCGTCACATGAACAAGATTATAGGGGCCAATGGGAACATTTAAAAACTGGTACAATAGTATTACTTAAGCCTCAACCAAGCCCCATTGTTGTACCAATGAGGCTTACACCTTAGTAGTGTACTACCCAAGGCCCAGTTTTGCCCGGATTTGGTTATCGACATTGCTTCTTTCTTCATAAAATCACTGAGGAGTCATAACTCATAACTCTTAAGGTTTATGCTCAATTGCTCATTGTGCAATTGCAAATGCTAAGCTTAGTATAAATATACGATCAATGAATTATAGATACAGAAATATTACTAAGAAATATTACTAACTGTTACCTAATGGGGAAACATTACTTGCATAGAGTTTATGTGCTTCATAGACTATCACATAGCAATACCGCTTTGTTGGAAAACATAGGGGGTATTTAAGATAATGGTCATCTAATGATCATTGTGTATCTACTATCTAGCCCATGATTAAAAAACATCAAATGCTTTTAAGGTTTAGGATGTTTTTACTTGGACTGAAATTTTCTGGTCTGATCTGTTTAAGTCTGGTGTAGTATGATCTTAACTAGGTGTTTGGTCTCTGTTTATTTACCACTGTGGAAGTCCAATGGTCTGATCTGGGACTAAATAAGTCCGAGTAAAAACACCCTTAGTATGCTATTAGGCTTGCCCCCGCCCCAGAACTTGGTTTGTCTTTTTGTATATTATATTATTAATAAATTTGTTTGGTTTTGTTACTTAGGGAGGCAGTAAGGACCATTTTCTCACCATACTTTGACAAGGGTATGCTACCTTTTCAAATTACCTTTATCTCATAACCTAGTCCTTATACTTCACTTTTCATCGTTGTTCATAACATAATATACCATTAAATTGTTGGTGAATCCTTGTATTAAGAATGCCACAACAATGAAGGATGACAAGCTCCACCAGTTGCCTCATTTAGGGAGGTGTCTCGAAAGTAGATTTTAAAAGATTGGTAAGGATTTTAGGTTTGATGAAATTTTAATGGAATTCCATAGATTCAACATCATAGAATTCCATAGATTCAACATCATAGAATTCCATAGATTCAACATCATAGAATTCCATGGATTTTAATGAATTATATTGGAATGTTACGGAAGTCTAATTCATATAATTTTATAGATTTTGATGATTTGGATATATTTTTGCAGGCATGACTTATATATATGTCTGTGCTCGTGTTTTTAAAGTAAGAAGGCATAAGCATTTGAGGCATTTACCATGATTTCCTTTTTAAACGGTTCAGGTCGGAAACTTCAAATAAGCCCCGTACTATACCAAAAATGGAAATTAACTCTATTTACTCTAAAATCATCCAATCAAACCCCTCAAACGGTAAGAAACACCTAGTTCAGAAATTTAGATGGTCACCTACAAGATTTCCACTTACCATTGACATGACATCTTAGATGCACTTTTTTTCTTCTAATTCCGTGTGGCACTCTTTTCATTTTCTCACATATTGAAAAATGAAGCCGTCCCTTAACCATTCACCAAATCTCACAAATCACCCTAATCGGTCGCCACTTACCTCGCTGGGAATTACCATTCTTCTCTTTAGCAAGCTTAGCCTCCACCACAATCGTGGGTTCCCTTCTACTTCCTCCCCCACATCATCCGCATTATTGTACAACGTAGAAGGTTTCAACTTTTAACTTTCAAGCTCTTCTCGGCCAAGCTTGTACAATGCACCTCCCTAAAAGACATCCTTTCCCCATCTCTGCCATGAATGCCGCCAGGACCTCAAAGCCTTGGAAGTGTAATGACTGTAATCTAGGGCTGTTAATGAACTGAGCTTTTTTTAAACTATTCGAGTTTGAGCTCGATTTTGAACCTAATGAGTCGAGCTTAACGAGCTTCAAACTCAAAAGCAAGCTGACTTTTAAGTTTGTATAATTAATCGAGTTAAGGTCAAGCATAGTTTATTCATCTCGGTTCGAGCTCGAGCCTATCAAACACTCTGAATTAAATGTAATTATTTTATAAATTTAAATATGATTACTAACGAACTGAGTACTTGTTGAATAATTCGAATGCAAGCTTATTAAAGAGCATGACCTAAAATTTTAAATTCGAGCATATTTATCAAGCTTATCGAGCGCTCAATTTGAACATCGAATGCCTATCAAGCTGAACACAAGCTTCATTTGTAGAGTTTGCCGAGCTTCGAGCGTGAATCCGCACACCACTATTACCGAATAGAGCCGAACTCGAGTTCTGGGTGCTCGGGCTTGGCTTGGCTCGTTGATAGCCCTAGTGTAATCCAAAACCACATCGTAAAACAGGTGGTGTGGCTTTACCTCCAGCCTATTTCAACCTTGTCGGGCTCCTCGGGTAAGAGCTTCCTGCTCAAACTCTGCCTTTGCTTCTTTGGGATATTCCTCGCCGCTGCCAACATCAAGAATACACCACCCGTCCTTAACTCCGAGGCTCTGACGTCCTCTCCGCCTTTTTTCCATCCAACATCTAGACTTCCAAACCTTACTCGTCACCGCTGTGTGAGGGTCAATGAGTACAAATTTAATAGGAAAATGACTCAAAGCTTTCAGCTACTTGCTCTGTTTTTAGTTGAATATATAGAAGACTTACACCCAATTTGGTTGTATATTCTTAGCATATATGCTTGTTGGTCTGTTATTGGGATTTGGTTTGGAAACATAAAACCTCCCCAAAATTTAATGGCTTATCCTTCAGATTTACTATTCTTAGCTTGTTTTTTTTATTTGTTTACTTGTTCCGAGATTCTATTAGGGAATATGCAGGTTCAAACAGCAGAAGTAAAATGAGATGGGTTAGAGGTAGGATTTTATTTAAAAAATAGAAACTATATATTTTTTGAGTGCCATGTGTGTAGTCAGAGATGTGGTAACCGGGGTAACGGATTGGCAACCGCCTAAATACCCTATTTGGGTTTTTTTGTACAACTTCGAGGGTTCGATTGAATAGTTTTGAAGTATGAGGGCTTAATTGTCATTTTGGAAATACTAGGAGTACATATTTGATAGTTTTCCTATTTTTTTTTTTAAAGTTGTTACTGATGCTGTTGGATGACTTTGCTGCAATGTAATTTTTCAATTCCAAAAAGCAGACAAAAGTGAAGACTATACCAGAGTTTTGTGCTTCCTATACACTTGTATTTCATTAATATGTAGTCAAGAGCATTTTGACGTACGCTAGAGTATTTTTCATTATTTACATGCAAGTGACTATGCTTGGTCAGATTCAACAATATTTACCACAGAGATGAGCATCATGCCAGCTTGCTATTTGTAAAAGAAATATCATATTTAATCTCAACTGAAATGAACATCATGTTATAGTCTAAAGTACTGTAACTTTTGCGGTATGAATAAAGATGAAATTCGAGAAGAACAGAAGAGAACTGAGGATGAACCACGGAAATGGTCGGGTTTGTGGGAAGGCCTTTGGTAGCACAAGTTGAAACCGAATGAAATGAGAAATGTCATTTTTTCCGAATAAAATCAATGGTGTGACACTGACTTGTGTTTTTCATCTGTGGTGTTACATCTTTAATAATATAAGCTCAATGCCAAGCTTTTTCCTACAGTAAAAAGACTAATGAACGGCTTCTTTTTGCTAATATGGTCTACCTAACATCACATTTATCAAGAACTTAGGTAGAATGTTTTTTTGCAAAGCGTAGGAACACTGAAGTTGTGTGACCTTCCTTGCACGTGCATGGATGAACTGGGAAAAATGGAAGGACCTTGCAGAAATAATGGAGTGAAAATGTTTAGATGGAAACCTCAAATAGCGGACTTGTCCTTTCAGTGAAGTAATTGAAGTGTTCCTTTCATTCAATGACTATCCAAATGAAAAGGTTACATGGGATAAGTGAATGAATATATGCCTCAAGTAGAAGTGTAGCTATATTACAAAAAAAACTAAAAGCTATACCCAAAATTCAACCAACAGGTGTAAATAATAATCAGTTACAGCTTTTTATGTCCACCTCAGGTAAAGCTAAATATGAGAGTAATTCCAGGCCTCCTCCATATATAGTGTCCACTTAAGTCACTCATCATCAATGATTGTGTACCTAAACTATCTATCGGTATGCGTCCCTTTCAGTGACATACACATGCATACAGAGTAAGAATTATAGAGGGATTGAGCCTTTATAATTAGTTAAAACTGCTGCTTTCGTTCCACTCTTATTTGCATACTGTGATGCTTATCTGGTTTCGGCTTAGCAATTTGGTTTCAGAACTCTAGTAGATACCACTGTAGCATGTTTCATGCCTCACATCATGCTAGGCCGGGTCCCTGCCTCAGAAGCGGAGGTAGATATTCTTTTGGATCCGATCTATTCTTTTGAAGCACTGTGCCCATCTTTTGTGTACCATTTTGCAGATTGAAGCTGAAGCAGATGCTGTTAAAACTCTTGCAGAGGGTTTATGTCCATTAAATGTTGTTCTAGACAGAGTGATTCTCACCTCAACTGGCGTGCTTGTAGGGTGCTGGCAGGTCTTTTCAAGAACTTTTTCCCTTCTCGAGTGCTAATTCTCGTAAATAATAAAAGTTGCAAATTTTAAATTTTTGAGAGGCGAATACCACTGCTACTTGCATAATGTTTTTTTTCGGTATTTTTCACATTGTATTTTTCACATTATGTAATTTAGTTATCAAATTTCCTATCACGAATCTGGTTCCTATCATATATATACCTAAGTTTACTGGAATATATCCATACATTTGGGGTTTTGGTTGTTTCTTGAGGGATTATTCGGACCACATTTCTGTGTCAATTTGTGCCTGATTTTCAAACATCTTCCACGTGGCAGGCTGTGTCATTTGTTCTATTTAATGGCAAGTTATCCAACTTTTTCCTTATCCTTTTTATGAGGTGGTGCAAGCTGTGTTCTCTTGATATTTCTGATTTTATTAGTTGAGAATCATGGCTGTCTATTGCTTGATATATTACATGCTCATGGCAATAAGTGTTATGACACAAGTATATTTTCCTGAAAATCTGATAGAAGTTGAAGTGATTTTCTCCTTTACCGTGAGAGAAGCTTATATTTAGAGTTCTGGATATCTCTAGTTAAACCTTCTGTTGGTGGGAAAAATTGGTACACTGTCCGTATTATCTTCTTCTGTTCTCTTGCTTGTTTTTTATATTTGTTTAGTTATTAATCCAATTTGAGCCTTGAAGCTACAAGAGGACTTGCAAAGTGAATAATTATGAGATGTGTATTCCCACTTCGAGGACAGCAATTGCATAGAGAAATAAGACTACTCAACATCAATTGCAAAGATATGTTGTAAACATGACAACATATCGTTAAATTGTTCACCAAAGAAATGTACTTAAAGATGTGTGTCTGTGTGAGATCCCTCTGAATGTACCATTTTGTTGCAGGTTATCTCTGGTACTGATCCTGTAATTATACGTGACAGGCTGAGAAATGCTCTTCCACATGCACCAGAAAAGCAATTTGTAAGTGTACACATTCAACAATTATTTCACTATTACTTTATATAGATGTTAACTTTATACGCTTTATCCATAAATGACTTTAGATAACAAATACAGCAAACCTGATTAAACAGGCATGAGGCATCGCATGTAGAGATTATAATATGCAAAACCTTATTATAGAGTACGGTTCCTTCTTGATCTTGACTGGGGGGGGGGGGGGGGGGGGGGGGGGGCTTGCGCACTTGGCTTTGCCAAAAAGGTGCAAGAAATAGCTCCAAGGTTAGTCGTTTTCTAATGATATTTACAAAGAAAGACCCTTATACTAGTCTCAAGAGTCTTGGTGAGCACGCAACAGGGTTCTAACATATACACAACAACATCCAGGCCTTATTCCCAAAAGCTTTTGGGGTCGGCTAACATGAATCGATCCATGATATCAGAACAAAAAAGAAAAGAAAGATGAGAAAAATAGAACAAATAAGGTAAGATAAAATGGATAAGATAAAAATAACATAAGAACATAAGATAGATAAAAGAGAAAAGAGATAAAGAACATAAGAAAAATAAAAGTTGAAAATAACATAAGAGCATAGAATGGTAAATAAAATAAAAGATGAAAGAAAGAAAGAAAGAAAGAAAGAAAAAAGATCAATCGTCCACATGCATATGCGCCATCCACTTTGCTTCGTCCAAAGTCATACTCTCATCCAACCCAAGAAGAAGCATGTCAGTTCTGATCCCTCTAATCCAAGTCTGTTTGGGTCTCCCCCCTACCCGCCTGTTCTCCCAGCTTTCAACTCGTCTAACATAATACAATATAAATTAATTAAATAATGAATATTAACTAAAATAGAATATGCTAATACTAATAATAAGAAACTATTGAAGTACTTGTCCCACACAAGATTGGTATAACATGAGAAATCACTATATAAAATTCACAACTCTTCATATTAGGTTGATTTTTTAAGATGGAACATCGGGTCGTAGATGGTATCGTAGCCGAATCATGTATTTTTTTAAATGATTGTACATGGAACTTACATGCTCAATTAATGAAACAGTATGATGCTGTTATTCTTCACACATCATTTGCAAGGCTTTTGGGTCCTCCCACTTTTCCTGAGGTAAGTTATCTATGACATGAAACTGATTTTACCTCTTGGTGAGACTAAAATGATGAACAAGCTACCAACTAGCCGCTTTATCTCAGTCACATAAGATACAATGTGTTGTGTAAACTCATAAATCCGTAACGAAATGATGCTTTTTAATTGCCAGCAATTCCTGATTTTGTGGCAGTAAGAGGGCCTAATTTTTGGTGATTTCTAAGCAAATCTGATATAGCATTTAGTTTATGTTGTCTTGTTTGTATTGCTATTATTTTCAGCAGACTTAATCAGAACTGTGCAGCCATTTTAATTATTACCAAGCGTTTTTCTTTCCCTTTTAACTTCATAAACTTTATTTGCAATCTACTCTGCAGGAAGCAAAAAAATCATCTGTGCTCGAGTTTTTTAAGATACTTGTAAGTAAATTAAACAGCGAAATCCGCGGACTTAAGGTACTGTTCGTATAAATCCGCACATGACTAATGCATTTGTCCCTCTCTTTGTATATAATACTCCGTCTGTCGCATTTCAGTTCCCATACACTATTGGTTCAGTGAACTTAACTGTACTTTAGTATTTGATTTCGTATAACAAGTTTTAGTTGTTTTCAAATTTATTTTTGTGATAGAACTTCTAGCGTAGCTTCTAAATATGTAAATTTAATTATTAAAACCAATTTATTTTTTTTATCAGGGAAGAGTTTACTTTATCATTAGTTAACCATTGTAAATTGCACATGCAATCTTGATATAGGACGGAATAGGACGGATGTAGTATGTTTTTAAGATTAAAACATGTTTTTCCAGAATTGGATAGCTGAAAAGTGTGTGCAACTTGTCTTCAAGAAAGTTGTCATAAGCATTTAAGGTTAAATGTGTTTTATGTTGGGTGAAATTGACAACTAATTCATACTTTTACCGTTTTACGCATCTAACAAAATAATCTCTATTGCAAGAATTCACAATAGAATCCAAACTCATTAACCACTCCAAAAAAATGAACATGAAGCTAACGATTGTATCTATTATGTCAATTAAATTTTGCATGTTCAATGAAGAGAAAACGTATATACTACCTCCGTTCCTAAAAATACTTCCCGGTTTGACTTGGCACGCTTATTAAAAAAGTGGAATAAAGTGGAAATGAATGGTTGTAGTTGTGTAAGAAAAAGGTAAAATGAATGTGAACCAAACAAATTGTCCAAAAAGGGAAAGTGAGAAGTATTTTTGGGAACGGCCCAAAAAGGAAAGTGGGAAGTATTTTTGGGAACGGAGGGAGTAAGTATTAACAATGCTATATTGATCCTAAACTTATTTATTTCCACTATGAATGTATTTTAATATTAAATACAGTATTTTTCATAAAATATAGTACAAACATATGAACAAATGCTCATCGCATTCTTATTACAATCTTTTTTATTATAATAGAAATTTCAAAGTACTTTTAGCAATACTATATTAAATAATAACACAAAGCATATGTTTTTTTAATTTAGTAAAATGATTTATAATTTGATACCTCTTATAATTTGAAATGAATGTGAGGTACAGGTTTATTATAAAAATTATTTTGCATTTGTAAGACATTTTTAACCCTTTGTATATTCAAAAAAAGGTTAAGATTTGGACTTCAAAAATCCCAATTTGAGAATTTATACGTAAATAGCTGTTAACTTGTTAATAGTGTCTTAAAAATGATCCAGCACAATTGAAAGTTAGCACAATTAAGTAGCAGTTCATTTTGTGAACTAATGGGAAAAGGGGCAAATAAGCCCTTATTTAGGAGGCTCTGTCCGGCCGTCGTCATTTGGGGCGGTTCCCGGTGGATTTTTTTGATGAATTTTTTTGGGCATCTTGTTCATTCAGTCTAGTTTACGCATACCAAATTTCAGCTAAAATTTCTATTGGGAAGACATTCAAATGAATTTTTGAAGATTACTGTGCAGTTAAAAACGCAGTTATCTTAAAGAATTCATTTGAATGTCTTCCCAATTGAATTGTTAGATAAAATTTGGTATGAGTAAACTAGACTCAATGAATAAGATGTTCAAGACATTTCATCAAAAAATTCCACCGGGAACTGCCCCAAATAGCGATAGCCGGACATAGCCTCCTAAATAAGGGTGCTTATTTGACCTTTTTTGTTAGTACGTGGGCTTATTTGCCCATTTTCCCTGAAATAATAGCAAGTAGGAATTGTTATCAAGAACTTTTCAATACAAATTATTGATGTCAATTTCTCTTTTCCTAAAATTAAAACACAAGTATGCATCTCTTCTTCAAGAAAGTGGAAGTTGGATCACTTATATGTCGTTCATACCTTTTATCAGGTTATTAATTTTTGTTTACTTATTTAATTTATTAATCTTGAACTCATATAGGCAACAATGTCTGAACTCTGGTATGTAGAGGAGCATCATCTGTTGGCACTTGCAATTGATGGAAGTATGAAGATTCGCAAGTTTCCACTGGGATGCTTAAAAGCCTGACAATAGTGTACAAGTTTCAACATTTCTACTGTTATACTTTATTCCTGTCCTGAAAAAATCTTCATTATTGGTAGTGAACTGAAGTCTCTCTCTTAATATATGGTTTGTTGTATGACTTGTATCAATTTTTATTCTATTAAAATTCATTTTTTGTTGTGCAGGAAACTTTCTAAATTCATAAATTTAAATTAGAGAAAATTGGGTGTATGTGCATAATTAAATATGTGTGTTTAAGTTAATATTATGGATTAACAAAAATTAGGTAGATAGCTTTTATTAAAATTCACCGGTGTACTTTGCCCGTTATAAACCTTAGGCAGTTTCTTCACCCGTGAAGTATCTCTCTTAGTCTGCAATTTTCTTCCAGTATTGTAAATCGATCATGTTGCAATATTTTCTTCTAATTCCATGATGGCAGCAAATATACAAGTTCGCAAACATTTGCCGGTTTCTCTGAAATATTGGAGTCAATGAATGTGATTAACACCACCGTTTACCACCAAGATTACTTAGTGTCCAATTATTGTGATGTGATAATATAGAAGAACCGTTTTTGCAACCATAATTAGGAAGTTTATACTCTCTATACGGTAGTTAAAATTTGATGGGTTTTATATTAACAAAAAAGTGCTATGTATTTCAATAACCAAAATAGATGTTATTAACTTTAAGTGGCCTATTTTTTTAGGTTATAGAGCATTTTTTCCCTTTAAATTATCAATATCGATTTTAATATTCCAGAGATTTTTTTTCCATTAATCATACATCGTAAGCTGAAAAAAGAGTTTTTTGGAGGGCGAAAAAAGAGTTCTGAAACGTGCGTGTTTGTGATATGAGAAGTAATTTAAAATGCTTCTAGTTGAGTTACTTGAGTAAAGTCGTAAGAAATGGGAGTAATTTTAAGATGGTACCTTATGCTATAATGAGTTTGATATACTCCGTATAACTTAAAGCTGGCAACTTAGAGTCTGGTGACTCTATTCATCATGCATATCAGTCAACTTTTTCATCTAAGACGTGTTTTTTTTATTTCATGCGCTAAATTGTGTAATAATAAGAAAATGTAAGGTTGAAATCACTTGGCTACAACAGTTGGAGTTACTATAGAAAATCATTTTAGTTGTTTTTTCATTCAATTTTTTCTTGATTATTAATAGTCTATTTCAAATATAAATTTTTCATAAATCAGCAGAATTAATCAAAGGATTTTATTACCAAACATGTTTTTAAAGTCTTAAAGACAGCAACTTATGCACGTTTGCGCAAACAATGATAGCCAGTAGTCACTCATCATATGGTAAAAGAAGAAATTCCACTTTTGATCCCGTGTTATGCACCAATTTCACAATTAGTCCACGTGTTTCACTTTATCCATTTTTGGTACCTGACTATTGTTTTCTTGACCAAATAGTCCTTTTCCGGTAGTAAAAATGCCCAAAGATGGATTGAAAATGGTCAAGAAAACAACAGTCAGGTACCAAAAATGGATAAAGTGAAAGACGATGACTAAATATGGAAATGACACAAAACTGGGAGGACCTAAAGTGGAATTAATTCTATGGTAAATTATGCTATGATAATGATAGAAAATGTCACGAGCTATTTAAGTTATGGCCGGTCGCTGGTACTTGGACTTTCGTTGTTCTGATGCAATGCTTGGATACCTGGATTGCAATAAGCATTTAGTTAATTATAATTTCCACAACAATCATGCTCTAATTTCTGCACGTGTCAAATTGCTTGAGGCATATGATTTCGTCATTGTAATGTCGATTTCCAGCTCAAGTCTGAGATTATACCCACATAGGATATCAAGTTCGATGGTTGCTGGCCAAAACACTATTCTCACCCTATTTCCGAACTCTACTGCCCCTTGGTAGAGCTCTAATGGATCTGGCCGAATCGCATGTAGGTTGTTGCCCAATTCTCCCCTTTGTGAATTGTGACTCTAGTGGTGAAATTGATATCCTTTGTGGGTATAATCTCCAAGACGTGATCTGGAAATCATAATGGTTTTTAACCACATCGGTAGGTCGTACATGGTATTTAGAATATTTTAAATTCATGGTAACTTTTTTGTGCATAACCATGTGAAATGTCTTGTGTCAAATATTTGACTATCGTGATATGTTGATATAGAGGATTCCCCTAAGGAAAGTAGCCACGTGGCGGAGGCTCAGATTGATACTTTGGTTGATCAAATGGCAGTACCTTACGATTCATGCGTGGGATTTGATACTAATCATGAGACATGGTATTAAGACACACTTGAGCCTACAAGTTACCGCCATGACTTGGGATGGATCGGGGTCGATCCGGTCCCAATTCCAATGTAAAAAGTAGGTCAGGAGCGAATCCGCCTGGTTAGGTCCCTGAAATTGTAAACTGGGGCCGGGAACACCTCAATGGTGGACAAGGCCGGTCCTAGGCCCGAAAACGGTATAAACGGTTCCCGTTCGGTCCCAAACAGTGCCTGACCCGGTTCTGGACCGGGTTGTACTGCCGCACCAGGTCCACCCCTAGCTATGACCTTCCCCATTCCTTGGTAGTCTACCACCATTTTAATGGGTATGTTTGGCAAATGGCTTATCAGCCAGCTTTTAGCTTGTTTGACCCATTTCAGCTGTTTGATTGGTCAAAGAAGCTAATAATTATGTTTGGTAAATCGCTTTTAAAATTAGCTTGTTGAGTTTGAAAAGCTGAAAAAATGGATTGTTGAAGAAGCTAAGGGGAGCAGCTTCTTCTTTTGACTGGTTCAATTTACACTCTATCAGCCATTTTGAAACAACCAATTTTACCAAACAGTTATCTATAACCAGCTAACATAACCAGCCGGTCAAAATAGCTGACACAACCAGCTGTTAGGAAACAGCGGACACAACCAGCTAACAACAACAGCTAACAGCCATTTGCCAAACATACCCAATATGAATTGGCTGCTTCTTGGGGTTGGAATATCTGTTGCGTTTGAAGAATCAGCTTGGCCCTTCTATTTGGGGCTGTAGTGACTAGTTTTTCAGATGAAGTTGATGTGGGAGGTCCAAAGGTGCTCTTCTTGGTGATTGAATGGGATGCTTAGAGAAAAGGTCCAAAAAATGTGTAAGCTTATATACTACGGAGTACTACCGTTTTAGTTTCTTTTTTTTTTTTTGCACAATACTACCGTTTTAGTTTAAACTTTTCACTTTGAAATGTTTCAATTAAAAATCTAATTGGCCGTCTTATTTTTCGGCTTATTAGCATTTTCAACTAATCTTTTCACCAAACATGTAATTTCTTTTTTCACGTGCGGAGTTGATAATATAGCAATTGCTCTATATAGGACTAAAATAACCTAAAATGCACAAATAGGATCACTACATTTTTAACCATCCCAAATAGGACTAAACAATTGATTTCTACCAGAAATGTCCCTAAGGGTATTATTTCATAATGAAATGTTATAATTCATAATAAAATCTTAAAAAATAATAAAAAATCGTAATCTTTTTTTAAAATCGTACAAAAATAAGAAAAAAAAATTAGAAAAAAGTTTTTTGAAAATATATATTTTTTAATAATTAATAAAAAATAGTAAAAATTCATAAAAAAATATATAAAAAAATATGGATACCTTTTCCACCGCCTCCCATCACACCACCTTCGATCAGTAAAAATTCTGCCACTTTTTATAAAAAAAATATATTTTTCCAAAAAATACCAAGAAAGTGACATTAGTACTCTTCATAATGCCAAATTCTCATTGAATCTGCCAGTATTATGGCATTACTAAAATTGGTGGCAGATTTGTTCTTTGATGTTTTTTAAAAAATTAATAAAAACTAGTAACCCCCCCAATGGATACCTCCGATTGGTGAAAATTCTGCCACTTTTTGTAAAAAAGCCATTGTTTTCTGAAAATGCTAAGAAAATGGCATTATTACTCATCATAATGCCAAAATTTTCATGGGGTCTGCCATTATTCTGGCACTACTAAAATTGTTGGCAGATTTCCAACCGGTGATGGGAGCTGGTGGTGCTTGGGGTGGCAAAGGAGAAGTTTTTTTTACATTTGTTTTAATTGTTTTTTTTAATTTTATAAATATTTTATAAATTTTTAAAAAATTAAGTTTTTGTTCTATTTTTTTTACATTTTTTATTATTATTTTTTATTTTATTATTAATTAAGAGTTAAGACAATTAGAAGTCTCAAGGGTATATTTGTCCAAATACACATAAATAGTCCTATTAGGGGGAATAAAAAACATGTAATCCTATTTGTGCTCTTGGGTCAATGTTTTGACCTATTTAGGTAATTGTCTCTTGAAATATTCAAAACAAGTAAGGTTGAAGTTACTTTTCTTGTTGCATTGGCTAAAGTTACTGTAGAGGTTCATTTTAGATATTTTTTTCTTATAATTTGTTCTTTATTTAATTATTAATAAAATATATTTTAAATATACTTTTCCATAATTCAACTGAATCAGTCAATCCAGCCACTTCAGCCAAAATTTCATAAACTTCAGTAAATTAATCGATTCAAACAATTTTAGTGTTACCGAACGGGTTTAGGTAACCCGGCTCATCCCACCAAATTAAATTCGAAAAATGATTTAAATTCATGAAAAAATGATGTAAAGATTTATCTCAAAAAAACGACTGTCTATCATTGTCTAAGTTTTAGAATGGAACTCCAAATCTTAACAATATCGTTACGCGTTGTGGCAACGCCACCGGAGCAGGTGGAGCTGGATGCGCCACGGAGGCGGATGGAGCTAGTAGCATGCAGCTTGTGCATGCCAGCAGACAACAACAAGAAGTAGGTGCACGTACGTACAGTTTGGTGTTAAGTAGAGAGGTGAGCTGGTAGGGCGGGCAAGCATCTTCCAGTGCCTTTGTACCCTAACAATGATGCTTTGCCATTCGTACACCTTTCAGCCTCTACCTTTGCCTGATTGCCCTTCACCTAATTAAATGCCTCTACCGAGCAAGTATTTATGTAGTGGCTTACAGTGGGAGAGAGAGGTCGACAAGAAACAAAGATTTAATGCATATGTGCATGGCATCCTCTTATAATGTTAGATGAACTGAACACACACTTGCGCTGGAAATTTATGGGGTTTGTCCACTGCTCTCAATCATTTTCAAGTGTCCATTTTCTATACTCGGTCCTTGCTTGTATA